GGATATTTATATTTTTATTGTTTTTATTTTCTTGGTTTTTAATTGTAAGCTGCCCAGAGTCACCCTCTTGGGGAGATGGGCAGCATATAAATTTAATAATAAATAAATAAATACATTTAACTTAACTTTTAGAGATTATTCTGTCTGAACTAGCTACTTAGCTCCAAGCAACTTAACCACTCCAGATTCTTCTGTTACTAGCTCAAGCCTTCTTTAGCTGAAGCTACTAATATTTAAATCAGTTGCTTTGATTAAAGTATACTTCGGGATACTTATATGAGAGCTTTACTTGGACATGTATTTTTTGCTCAAACCTCCCAATTTGTCTTCTCTAAATGATATTTGCAGACCATTAGAACCTCAACCCTCTCCATTTTATACCCTATCCCTCAGGGATCCAGCTGAGAGTTAGTGTTTCTGGTTTAAATTACTTTGAGTGACAGGTTTCATTTATCCAGTCATCAAAGATGCCTTTTGTCTCTTTGTCTGAGAAGGGAAGCTGGGAATCACTTGAGAGCGAGCTGGAAGATGCTGCTAAGCTGGAGCCCATCACAATAAAAGTAGTTTTCTTGTTGCAGCATGCATGTGTTTATTATGGTATTACATACCATCCTCTGTCAATAATTTTAATATATAAGACATAAAAGGGTCCTGAAGAGATGAATAACCAGACTGCAAAAGTCATGTGATAATTGGTCACAGTTATGTTTATGGAGTGGGCCTAACCATGTCTTTTCCCTCCCAAAGTAGTCAAGTGATGGATTAGGTTTAGGAAGAGAAAGAACCTAATAGCATATGGTCCCATCCAAGCCAATGACAATAAACAGTGGACATAAATCACACTGTCTTATCTATTCTTTTATATTCAGTAAGATTGAGTTTACTACTGTCAACTGTCAAATAATAGTTTGGATTATTGGTGACTGTAGAAGACAACAAGCTCTAGGTAGTCGAAGAAACATGTAGAAAACTCCTGGCCTCCTAAGGGGGGAAAAAAGGGAAATATCCAGTTTCCATATGACTTAGCATGACTTACTGCCCCATTAAGATCCTTCTTTCTCCCTGAAAAAAATTATGGTTTCCAGTTGCTGAAATATAAGTCCATCTCTGCTCTAAGATTGCATTCTCTTTTCATCCCAATTTTGAATGAATTTCTTCTCTTCTGGTGCTGTGAGTCACAGCTGTTTTACCATAAAATAATACCATTGTAGCTGGTAGAAAAATAGATTGGAAGAGCCAGTAGAGGTGTAGTGGTTAAGAAGTTGGGGTCAGAACAGGGTGACACAGATTTAAATCTATCCTTAGCCCGAGGAAGCTCATTAGGGGCTTTGGGCTCTCTCACTGTTTCTCTCAACCTAAGCTACTCTCACAGGATTGCAATTGTGAGGCAAAATGGGAGGGCGGAGTGCTATATGTACTGCTTTGAATTTCTGGAGGAAAAAAGATAGAAATATAATGAACAAATAAATTATTAGTTTTTGGAATTTTTAAAATCACAGATTATAAAAGTCTACAAAGCTGCAGTTCAGCAAACCTTGGACATTATGTTTCTCTGTGAAGGAAAAGAATTTCTTACCAGTACTGATGCAGTAAGCCAAGACTCAGCTGACCGTACCATCATTGCTTGGGATTTCCAAACTGCTGCAAAGATCTCCAATCAAATTTTTCATGTGAGATATATATTTACTTTGTTATTTATTTTTAGGGTTCCTATATTGCCATGTGTGAAAAAATTACCAACAACCAACAGTTTGCTTGAGAAGCAGTTGAAAGAACTTTGTGTTGTGTTTCTTAAAAGATCACAAAATATTTTGACTTTTCTCTTATAAAGCTCAAGTACAGCCCAAGATCAGTTTAGCCTCTGTAGAAACAGCACAGTAGTCACATACTTCAGTTCACTGCATGTTTATTTGGAATTTTCATCTACCCCAATAGATGACATGGAATTATAATTTTAACAAAACTGTTGTCTTTGATTTAAGGCATTATCAGTTCAAGGTACCAGGAAAGTGAAACTTTCTTTAAAGCATTTCAATATTTGTCTCACACCAACTTATCAAAGTATTAAGGATATCCTCAGAGGACTTTCTCTAAATCTACATACTATCAGAAGCTCAACAATTGGTGATTGGAGGGACAGCTTTTTTTCCTATGAACAGTTTCTCCTGTTTTCCATCTCAGTGAAGACCATTTTTGATGAGCCATCTTTGACCAATTGCATTGTAACCTGATTTTCTCCTGGGAAGTTTATTTATTTATTAAATTTATATGCCACCCATCTCCCCCAGTTTATTTGAACTGCTATTCTTTCTGTAGTCCCAGGTGGCAATGTGTGATTGATCTTGAAAAGCTGAGCAAGGTCAGAGCTAATTAGTACTTGGAGAGAAAACCATCAGAAATCCCAGGGCTATAGAAAAAGAGAGAGAAAGAGAGGAAGAAAGAGGAAGAAAATGCCAATCCCCTTCATACTTTTGCCAAAAAATCCTACATGGACATGTCTAAGTAGTCACCAGGAGTTAAACTTGATTGAGAGAATTTTTACTTTGTTATACCTTTTGCAGTTTGAATTTTACTTGTATTTTATGGGATATTGTTAAATAGGTGCATTGGTATTTTCCTGGGGGGAAAAATGGGAAATAACATGGGAGGGAGGGAAGAAAAAAAGGGGGATCATTTGGGGACCTTCTCACAGGATGCATAATCATTCTCTTGTTAAAGAAATATTTTTAAAAAATAGAACTAGCAAGGATGATGCTCATCAATGCTGGATCATATTCACTGTGCTTTTCAAGCTACTGATTAACTTTTTGGTGCTTTTCAAGCTACTGATTAACTTTTTGGTCACCAGTGTTCTGAGCTGGAGGAAAATAAGGATCTTGAACTCACTGTCCTGGTGCCAAGAAATTTTGTTTTTAATGAGCTGCCTTCAGAATGTTTAATAAATAGGTAGATCAGTCCTAATTGGCTTGGAGCATATACGCTAGAAGACAAAGAGAAGCAAAGTAGGTGCATGCCTGCCAATGAAACATCTGTCAGGATAAGACATGTTATTGACTCTTGGGAAGTGATTTATTGCAACCAGGGATTGGAGAATATTTCTCTCTGGAGTTGAGATTGGCAGTTTGGGATGCAAGAGAGCACTGTCTTGCTTTCAGAAAGTAATGGATACCCTTTGTTTCCCAGTTGTGAGGAGTTTCTGCCTTCTGTTCCAAAGATGGGCAATCTACATGCCACATGCAGCCCTATCTGCAATCTTTTTATGGCTTGCAAAACAGATTAAGGTCATGACTCCAAAATTTAGGGCAAAAATACTGATTTTTGGAGGCATGATTAAAAGTGCAGCCTCTGGCCATGAAAATATTGCCCACTTCTGTTCTAATCATTATCATCTGTCTCTAACTTGGTGACAGAGCACATGCTTTGGCCCCATGTTCACTCCATGGCTTCTCTGAGTGAAAGGATCAGATAACAGATGATGTTACCTGATCCTTTTTGAGACCTGTTTGAGACCTGTTACCAGACTAACTAGTTAATATTGCCTGGAGGAACAAATACTTTAAAAAAAAAAGAATTCTGCATGCTAAATCTCTTAAAGCTAGTTTTTAATTTGCCTTTGATATGTCGGCTGTACACACAGTGGAACATAAGAGATGTTTGGGGCTTTAGAGCCCTTCTCCCTGGTATCCAAAGCTCACACCCTGCTATTAAAAGACAGAATTCATAGCAGAGGTGTTCTGTATGCATATAACTCTTTCAGCATGGGGAGCCTCATTTCTGTTTCTTCATGAGGGAAATACTTGGAGCTTTAGAATAAGTAGGACATTATCTACTGTCCAGCCTGAAGACTCCTTTGAAGATGCTGTCCATTTGATGATTTTAAAAAGAGGCCTTATAAGTTCCTTAGGGAAGAATACCATTCTCAATCATAGCCGAACCTCTGTGCAAACTCAGTGCAAGTTTAATCTCTTTTGGAAATGCAAAGAATAAAATCAGTTGGTATCCATTCAGTTTTGAAAGGACAATTCTGCCCTGGTAAAAAGTGGAGTGTATGATTCAATAGCATGTTCCTATTCCCATCTTCCAAGGTGGCCTTTGTCCAGTTTTGCAGATGCACAGTTCTGTGCAAAAACTTTTATAGTTGGTTTGGCATTTGCACTTCAAAAGGAACCCAGTTCAGTGAATAAGGAACTGCAGCATGCTCCATTTTGATGTATTCAGAAGCTTAAACAAGATTATTTCCTCTGGAGAGAAGAGGAAGATTGAATAGGGTAGTTTAATACTCTCCCTGGAGGCAGTATGTATTTGAAAGAAATTGTTGTGGGTGTGGTTAACAATTATTAGAAATCGCCTTTAATATCTTTAATTTCTGTTTCTAAATTTGCAGATAAGCAGCTTGTGCACTCCCAGAAGTCAGTGTTCCACTTTAAACAGTGATAAGCATGTTTAAATAATTTCAATCTGATTAGCACTTCGAAGGATCTGCATTTTGCTCATAAACTCAGTTTGGAAAAACTGCAAACTTTTTCAAAAAGTTGTTGGGAGATTAGAAAAAAAAATATCATGAAAGTTAATGTCATTTTCTGGCTTAAACAAGTGGTCAAGAAGAAATGAAAGTTGGCACTTTGTATATAGAAAACAGAGCTATAAAACTGGATCCTGAGCTCTATTTTACAAAAGTGAAACTTCTGTTTAGAAGCATTTCTCATTTCCACTGTATTTGGTATCTTTAGTAATTGCTAAATCTTGCCACAGCATTGATTTCTGTTTGTTTAGAAGATCATTTTGTGCATATCTGTAGCGTTTTCAGAATAAATATATGTACTGTAGATAATGTTTAAGTATATTGGTGACCTCTGAAAATCTTCACTTATTTGGGGATGGTAAACAACGGGGAGGAGGAATTTCATTAATATTTCTGGTGGGAAGCTTTATTCTCCGACAGGCTAGGGAGGGGTTCAAAATGAACTTCCTTAAGCCATTCCTGACTGAGAAATTTCTGCCCAGTTAATACTGAATCCAGCTATATTTTCATGCACATATATTATTGAGGGAAGTTGAGGCCTTAGAACAGATTAGAAGGAGTCAAAGTCAAAGCAACTGCTTTCTTCACTAATAAATATTGCTTTGAATCCACAGTTGTGTCAGATTTTCTACTCTGTTGTGATAAAATGTATTGGGTCGGTGGAATTCATGAAATATTATCCATAAGGATTGGGTAAATCTGCAATATGAGTATATAGAAAGACACACAATTTCAGAAAATGAAATATATTTCCCAAGAAATTTCAATTTAGCTTAATTTACTGTACATTCTACCATTAGCAATACAGGGTACTTCAGAGGGGACAAAAAGAGAAGTTTCTATCTTGAATAGCTTACAATCAGCTTCAGGAAATCCCTAGGAGGTGAGGTAGATGGAAATAGAGATTCTTTTTTGCGGGGGTAGGATGGGGTTCAATTGTTTCAGGATTGGTTGCAGTAGAATAGAGACAATCTTTTTGTGCTGGGGCAGCATTTGTATAAATTCAGCCTCTAAAGGTTGAAGATGACATGATAGTGACACATATATGTCACTGGATAGGAAAGGTTAAACATTTATTTGGGGGGATTTGAGGTTTTATTTTAAAAAATAAATGCATGAAGTCATTTGGAGACTTGATAGTAGGGCTGTGGAACACTTTGGAAATAATTCAGAAGAGATGTTTTGGTGCATGTGGGAGCATGTGTGCAGCACCTGTCACAACTCTAAGGCAGCTGTATATTTTCTTAGAATCGTGCAGCTGCTCTCTGCAGCTGCCTTGTGATCCTGGGAGAAGAATGATAGGCAAGGGGTATATTCTTGCCCCCCAATATTAGGGCATCTTTTTTGGAACTGAATCTAAAGCACTGCACAATCTTACTTGACACCCCTAAATTGTACACTCAACCTGTTGGGTCACCAGTTTTTGATGGTGCCAATTTGGGGGGAATCTTTAGGGCCACAAAAAGAGACTGGGGTCTCATATGACTTGCAAGCACTGCAGAGTTTGAGTCAGAGACCATGAACATTTTCACTTTTCTTCTTTCCAATTCTCTTTCCAGGAGCGTTTTACCTGCCCAAGTCTTTCAGTTCATCCTAAAGAGTTTGCCTTTGTTGCTCAGACAAATGGCAACTACATGGCTTTATTTTCCAGTCTGCCACCTTATCGAATCAACAAGAAGAAGAGGTTTGAAGGGCACAAGGTATGCATCCGTCAACAGGTTTTGTTCCTTTAATATACCTACTCATGTTACTACTTTTCAGTAGGACTAGAATTTGATAGGTTTCAATACTATTGGCTGTACAGTATTTTAGTTAATTTAGAATTTAAATTATAGTAAAATAACCAAAAACATTATTAGTTTCTAATAGGCTTGTCACATATACAGCAACTTCTGCTAACAATGAAAAGTCTTTAATGGGGCAGTTTTACTAAACACCTAGGAAAGCAGTTAGACCATTATGGTAAAGATTGACATGTTTATTATAGTGTAAAATTTCAAGAAGCTGTAGATCATATTGTAATTCCTTAATTAACATCTTGATTTATTTAAACACTTTTAATTCTTGACTCATACAGGTTGAAGGATTTGCAATAGGCTGTGAGTTTTCACCTGATGGAACACTTCTTGTGACAGGGAGTTCAGATGGCAAAGTGTTTTTCTACAACTATCGCACAGCTCAAATTCTCCATACCATGTCAGCACATAGTCAAGCCTGTGTGAATGCAACCTACCATCCAGTCCTTCCATCACTCCTTGCCACCTGCTCCTGGGATGGGGTGATCAAAATCTGGCAGTAATAGAATTTAGGCAGCCAGCTAGCTTTCCAACTTTGTAAATATACTTTTCTCTTGTAGTTTCATTTCTTGGAACTTTATGTTGTACTGTGTAGTTGTATACTAAAAACCAATTTTACTAAAATGTGGCTAGGTGGGGCAGGAAATATCAACTTCCTTGGTCACACTATACAAATAATTAATTTGCCTGACTCTGTTTTTGACCCACTTTGCCTTTGGAACTGTGACCCTTTTCCAATGGAGTTCTCTGACACTATTAGAGCTATAGTGTTCTTATAGACAGCTCCTAAATGTATAGCTACTGCTAGCTTTCTCCAAGTTTTTGTTGCAGGGAATTAGTAATGGGCTAGATTGAAAAAGGAATAAGAGATTAGCTGAAGACCCAAGTCTATATGTTCTGCCTGCTAATATTGGATGTGGAATGTACAAAATCAATAGATAGAAGTAATTAAAAGGGACTCAAGATCATTCAAGTTCTTCTGGGAACCTAGATTTTTAACCACTTTGATGTTACTAAATCAGCACTCCTAGTTTAAAAGTTTACTATTGTTTAGCTGTCCTCACTGCTTCACCCTTTTACTGTTACTTGACTTGATCCTGTAGGCTTTTCATCCAGTTTTAATGGAGTCACACTACACTAGAACTGGTGTAGCCATGGAGGCTTTTCTGATGCAAAGTAATGTGGTTAGGATCTGATTCTGATATCATTATGGTCACATGGAGCTCAGAGAGATTTATGACACTTATGGGTGATGCTTGGAATAAAAAAATTCTAAACAATTTGCTTAAAAAAATTATTTTAAAATAGTTTTAAGATTTTTCAGCAAACTGGAAGCAATAGCATTTCTAAGAGCATAGCTATTTCCATTTAGCTAAGGTCAAGGATATGGTAAGCTTCTTATCCCAAAATAACACCTTTCTTCCTAACTGGGAGCTATATATTTAATTATAATAACATAACTGTTTCTGTCTCTGCCCTGTATTCATCTGAAGTATACACTGGAGGAACAGATGACCTTACAGGGTAGGTTTGGGATATGTGCAGGAGTGTAGGAAGACAAGAGTAAGGAGTTTTGTTGCTCCATGGGAACGTATTAGATGTAGCCCACTGGGGCCAAACCTAACAGTGATCTTTCACATGTGGTAGCCAGGAACTGGATCACTTAGAAAATCCTTCCTTTATCTATCCTTCCTTTGCAAAGTACAGAGTGTACTTTTATATTGTGCTAAAATGAAAGTTACTAAACTATGTATGCTAAAATGTACAAAGTAATATAAATGCTATATAATGTTACATAAAAATTAAATTTTAAAAAAGTATAAAAAATACAACCCAAAAGTATCCTGTTGTAAATATATTTTTCTAAAGTATTCACTGTAAAGTATTTATTACCAAGCCTAGTTGCATATTTTTACTGACTGAATGTATCTATTGATCAGCTTTCCTGTCCACAGTAAGGCTAGCATTCACTAAGATTAATAGTCTTTTAGTTTTTAAAATTGTTTTTAAGTTAACATGCATTTGATGGGTTCCATAAAACATAAATTTATCAGAATTTACATTATACGTAGTTCTTGGTTAATGACTGCCCTGTTTAGTGACTGTTCGAAGTTACAACAGCGCTGAAAAAGTAACTTTATGGCCAGTCCTCAAACTTATGACCGTGGCAGTGTCCCCGCAATCACCTGATCGCCATTTGCACACTTCACAGCTGGCTTCTAACAAGCAAAATCAATGGAGAAGCTGGCAGTGAAATTGCAAGTCGTGGTCACGTGATGACTCACTTAAGGACCATGTTGCTTAGTGATGGAGTTGCCAGTCCCAATTGCAGTTGTTAAGTGAGGACTACCTGTACTTCCATAGGGACATGAGATGGAGTACTATATTTATTTTATTGTTTCTGTGTAACAACTTAGCATATATAATGTATAAATGAATAATTGTCAGAGCCACTTATAATTTAATAAACAAGCACAATAGTAAATAAAATGCCATTAAATGAATCTTCTTCCAAAACCAGCAGCTAAACCCAAACCCTTGAGCTAACCTGAAATCTGTGGAGTTATTTTGTAGAGTGATAGCACTACAGAGAAGGGCCTGTGCCTCCAGCTTGAATATTGTTTGCTATATTTAATTTTTTTTTAGATTATTAATTTTGAACATATCAAGTCAAGTTATACTTTGGAACATATCAGTTCTTGAATCAACTGATTCCTCAATCTGAAGTTTTGCTGAGTTTTGCTGTTATAATTCAGTGTTTATAATTAATAGTGTATTGTAACAAGATTTCAGCCATTTTATCTTCTTCCTATATGCTTTTCAGTCCTGGTATAGCTATAGTTCCAAATCCTTCACCCAAGAAATCAAAATATAGAGTAGATAAGGAAACCAGTAGTACCCCAAGCAAGTGGGGAAGAGGCTGTGTTGTCATATCACATCTGAGCTGCAAAAATCAACAAACCATAAAGGTTACACAAGCAACCAAAAACCCAAAATACAAGAGTCTGTTTGCATGGAAACGAGAATACCATCTACATTAATAAAATCAATAGTATTGTCGAAGGCTTTCACGGCTGGCATACGATGGCTGGTGTGGATCTTCCGGGCTGTGTGGCCGTGTTCTTGAAGTTTTGTTT